TACAAAAGGACTGATGCTGCGAATTTCCTCAGCGAACAAGTCTACAGGGATGATAAGACATCCAAAACAAAAGAATTCCGGAACTGTGAGCAGCCTAGGAGAATGTCTACCGATATAGGTAATCGAAAAACCCGATCAGAAGCTCCGAGAATGAGAAATGTCTAACACAGGAGGAGCTAGGGGAGGGGCGTGTGTGGGAGGGGAAGGTAGGCATACCAGTGTAAAGACTGACTGGGCGAAAAATAGAAGACCTGATTCAGGGGCATAGGAGTTCTGGTCAAGATTGTTAATAATCTGGGCCTCATCATTGTGAAATTGATCAACATAGAACAGAAATCAACGATTTTGTGCGAAGCACCAAAATCAAATAGCAGGCCTTGGCACTGGATTAGTATGGACATGGAAGGATAAGTAGATAGATAGATAAGGAGTAGTAGATAGTAGATAAGGATTATCGGTTTCTGTTAGGGATGCGTTGATGGCTACAGCTGAAGCTGTAGTTAAGGAGATCATTTAGCAAACAAGTGATAAAGCTGATAATACGTCAAAGTGGCTGCAATCTCTAACGATTCTTGTCCGGCCCACTTATGATGGAAAGATGGACTAACCCGTGCTTAGAGCTCCTTTTTCTTCTGCGCACTGTTTACAGATCCTTCAGCAATGCATGATGACACTCAAGCGACGAACGTTCGGAACGGCAATCATCCAGAGGTTGCGATCAAGTTCCCCACTGGAGTCTGACCAACTTCAGCGTTGATGGACAGCATTGTCCCTGGTCAAATGACAATGTCGTCATCATTGCAGTGGGCACCTTCATACGGTGCGATGAATGCATATTGCGGACACAAAAAGGAAGTAGTTCCGACCAGATTCGCTGAAAAGTGGAACATCACTTGGAACGGGCACGATATCCGAATTGGAATGAATCTCGAGCGGAACAACTACGTGTATTATTCGATGAGACGCCCAAATCCCTGACGCCAAAGAAGCTCACTGATTTCCACATAAAACCTTAACAATGAAATGGCGATGAGGACGAGCTCCATTGCAAGATCTCCAACGGATGACGTCGAGCAATGTCGAACCCGATGTTGGACATTTGTCAAACCGTGCGAGAGGTGCATGGAAGATGAAGGGCAGCCAAATCTCAGTACAGAAGCAATGATAACGTCAGCAGCTGGAATGTCATCTGAGAACATTTAATGATGTAAACTGTTTACAGAGGCTGGTAGTACACACAGATTAGGACACACAGCAGGGCACATTCATTGTGACCTCGTCTTGTCGAGATGTCTTGCCGAGAAGTTCACTGAATGGTTTCCGCAGTGTAAATAGAGTTCCATGTCGATAGTCAACCAGTGATCCTCGAATTCCTTGATCGGAGCATAGTTTATGAGCTAAGAATAACCTTTTTACTCGAAAGAGGACTGGCTCGACGCTAGCAATCGAAAGGTTCACTAGTAGACAACATTTGCGTAGAGTCGATAAAATGGGGTTACCAAAGAGGCCTGCAGAATCAATACATAAGAAGATACAGAGAAGAGATACGAATCAATCGAAGGTGGCCTTAGACAAGCATATCAGTGATCCGCTCCAATTATTAAGAACTTCCGTTGTACGGAGATGTGATGCACTCACTTTCCTCTTTCTAGCAGTATAGAATGTCCGGCGGGAGGCGATGGGTTGACTGCGGTGGTGCACCCATAGGGTTCTTCAAAGGCAACAGCCATCGATCCTTCTTTCCTATCTACTTCGTCAGGGTCGAGAGATTATTCAGTTGATTCCAAAAGTCCACGTGAGAGGGTTCAAGTAGCGTCGCCTCAATGGCTCAAAAGAATGCTACAACCCCTTTGGAAGACGAACTCTGCGGGCCGTACAGAATATGGCCGAAGTTCCGTAAATGCATGGAACGCTCGGTACGATGCATTTTACAAAGTTCAGGAGCCAGAGGAAAAAGACAACCACGACCACAAACCTTCCTGTTTCTCTTTCCGGGAATTTTCCGTCGAGATTAAAATATGTATAGGCAATTAACCAAAAAGAAAGTACTGAGAACCAGTGAACTCGAAAAGAATTGCTCAGTTCGTTGCATTAGAATGAGTCTTGAAACAGAATCGGCTTTCAGAGTGAGGCGACCCCTTCCTATGTCGATCTTATGCTGTGAATGAGCAATCAAAGTCGAATGGCAGTGGTGCAATAGTGGCACCCATTTCTACAACCTGATCAAATCAATGCATGCCACCCCTCCTAGTACTTATCAATCACAGTCCCCACTTATGTTCACTGCAGCCATATCTCTTGTTTGCCAAACTTTCTACTTGAGCAAAGCGGAAATGAAATAAAAAGGAAATACTAGCGGACAAAATACTCTCAAATTCATCTCTACACTAAAATTTAGCGGGAACCATTTCTGCGTTGAATGTTAGTGATTACGAGACTGTTCAAGAGTACAGAATGAATTTCCAACAGTTTTGTCTGGAATCTCGAAAATACTTACTGTTGTACAAATGCGTAGTCGTTGCGAGGAATCCGACTATTGTAACGCCACTGCCGCTTCGACAAGTCGTCCGGAAATCCTTTCCTGAGAGATATGTGCTGAATCAGAACGTCCGCTAAAGTTCTAGGATCTACAAGGAAGTTATCATTGAAAGGTTTCCTGTAAACTTCTGAGCAACT